TCGATTTTTGCATTGACTGGAGAAGAATCCTGGGGAAGTTTCATTAAAAAGAAAATGGCGGAAGTTAGGATAAATAACAAGATACCAACCTTATACAATGAATGGCATTTGCCACTAAATAATGGATTGATCAGGGAAACTACTAAGCTACTCTTACTCTTCTTACAAGCATTATCAACTTTGAGACAAACGTTTTGTTAGATGTATATGCTTGATTTAGGAAAATAAGAATAACCAATTTATACGTTTTATATCAATGATTTCGTTGTCAGAAGTCAGAGGTTTGAAGAACTGCTGACGAAGCCACTGATTTATCCGTACATAATCATTCTCGACGAAGAGGTTCCAGGAACTGCATCTGCCGAGTTTCGTAAAGGTTTATCAGCGACTGGCTGCCGGCCGATAGATTAGTGAACAAGGCAGGCTGAAGAAAATTGAGCTAGAGGGGGAGTGAAAAAAGGAAGAGTGAGAGCGATGAAGCTTTTTTTCGTTATAACTGCGCGAACATGCACTTCGAACGATTAAACGCCTTAATTTTAACATTTGATAAGGTACAGTAAAAGAAATCAATATAACCATTAAATAATCGACTTTTGATATATATATATATATATTTTGGCAAAATATGAATCTTTTCATAATGGTTAATGGTAAAAAAATAAATGTGCTATACATCTAATGTCATATAGCACTATAGGAAAGTATAGTAAAGGATGATGACAGGTGACAGTTGCTATGCGTCATCTAGAGTAATATTGAAAGGTTAAAGATGGATAAAGGAGCTGATGAGGAAATGGGTTATGGTGGTTTAGGTAAGGGAATTAGATCAAGTAAAGGATATGCATGCGTCTGAGGAAGGAGAACAGGTTGTCAAAGCAGAAAGTAGATAATGGATGGATTATAAGAAGAAAGGATATGACGAAGGTCTGGTCTGTGAGAACGGAAACCGCGAATATTCCACTGTAGGAGAGCTATATCTTAGGGCGTCTTTTGTAGCGTCCTTAACTCTTAATACCGTATTTAGTTTAATCCTAATCCACCGTGTCCCTACCGAAGACGACACTCTCCGCTGCCAGACGGCGCGACAGTAATGTTCAGTAAAAACTGTCGTACTCACTATTCTATCACCACCGTTATCATGTAAACATGTCGGAGAGAAATGTCGGGCGTGAAATTCGCTCTTTTGGGAGATTACATGTTTTATTTTTCTTTCTTTCTTTTTGTAATGTCATGTTTCTGGTAATCAAATTTAAGAAACTATTTAAGACATCTCTTAGGTTTCAAAATATTTATTATATTTAATGTGTATTTCATGAAACTGAGACACTAATGTTTTCATTATGATTCTGAAGACCACCTTTTCCTTCCCTTCATCTCAGACGTACCTACATGATTGAAGACAAGGCATTAAAAACTTATTCATATTATTAATCAATTCTTTATGCCTCCCAATGTTCCCAAAATTGAAAACTATGACTAGCATCATATCAAAGTAAGAAAGTTCGTACATCTATTTTCTGTACACATTTCTTCAAGATTATCTGTTTCAAATATGATTTGTTTGGAATCTTAAGTTAATGGACTGTCTCTTTAAATTTCTATCAATTCTTGTGATGTTCCTGGTCTGTTATGTAGTGGTGGTTCTGCCCACTGTTGTTGATGTGAAGATCCTGGTATCGTATTTCTGGGCGTGTGGGAATAGGTTTTGCAAATCTAAAGGGTGGGAGCTGAGGTATATTGCTTTTTTATTGCTGAACAGTCTGTGGTATTTTGAAACATTTCTGTGCAATGTTCTCTTTCACACATAACTGTTGCATGTTGTGTAGGGTAGCGTTTGGAGCAAGTCATGCACTCATACCTGTAAATAAGCAACAAAATCATCCAAAAGATATCTATTCAACATTCACCCTTCATGTCCCTACGGATATGATATAGAAGACAGTATTAAAGATATTACCTAAAGATTTGCAGTCCGATATAAGATATACTTGGATAAATAAACCTTGCAATTTGCATTCAGACACTGCATTGTTAAAAGATTTTTTCTGACAACTGATATTCATTTATTATAGATTGGGGAAAAGGTGATTGTTATAGAAAGTTATAGTCAGTAACTCAAGATGCAGTTTGATCTTCATATGATAATTACGAGGCACAAGTAGGCTTACTTATAAGGGAAACATGATTATTTATGAAATATTCTGTTTTTTCATGATAACGATCTTATATTTATAGTAGTAAAATGGGTAACGAAACTGCTCTAACAACTATAAAACCAATATTTCAATGACACAAGTACAAAAATGACATTCATCAATTAATATCCATCGCGCAGTTTCCTCGGACAGCTCTTTGCTGCGTTGAATCGTGTTGAGAGGGAAACATGTTTTCTTCAGGATGCTGTTCAGGAGGTCCATAGAAAAGTATACTTGTTAATTTTGTAGTAAAGTAGTTGAGAAAAACTCAGCACATAATTCTTCTTTAAAGCACTTGGTTCATATTTGATTTAAAACGTCAACTTGTGTGACCCTGACCATACAATTTTTGTTTCACTAACCTGGAAATATGAGTTCCATGCCCGCAGCCTCTGAACTTCAAAGATTCCTCGTGGGATTATATTGGTTTTTATATTCATTACCATAAGTTATTTCCTTTATCAGAATATTTGATCATTTGTGTAAATATATACAATTTCATTTTCATAATAAATACTAAGTATGAAAATTCTATCGATGTTATTGCCGAAAATAACTCGTAACAGTACATGATTGGTGGGATTTTGTCCCTTCTGCGCATGTGCAGGATTAAAAAATGAAAAAATGAGCTTAATATTAAAGCCTGGTCTAGAGGTGCATTAAAAGTTGATCTTGGACGCTGCCAATGCGAATGCGCACTAGAGATCTGGATTAAACTTTAATACTGGATTAACTTTTATGACACGTACAGAAGACGCCCTTAGTTGATTTATGAGTAATAACGTATACAATACGTGTTGGGGAATTAGAAAGGGAAGGAGCAAGGGGGTGATATAAGGAATTAGAGGGGGGAAGGGGGTTGGTGTAGTATCAGAAGGTGGAGGATCTGGGGAAGGGCATAGTTGTGACATAAGGGATTTACGTGTGTATCCAGGAGGGAGTAGAAGGGATAGAGAGGATGGAGGGAGGGTTAATGTAAGTGTTGTTGGAGCTGAGAGAGATGGGTTGTGTTAGGTAGGAGGAGGGGTAGGGGAGTACGAGTATGAGTAGGATGAATATCGAGAGGATGGATATCGGTAGTAGATGGAGTTGAGAGAGATAGGTTGTGTTGAGAGGGAGTAGGAGGAAAGGGTGTAGGGGGAATATAAGTAGGAGAGTGAATATCGGCAGTCACTTCGAGTGTGGAGGGAGCATGAGCTGTGGAATTTTGTGTCTCAAGCATATAGCTTTGAATATCTTCCATAGTTTCTGCAGTGGAGTTGGTTGGAGAGTTTTGTGAGACAAAGTTTTTTTTATGAGGGGGGAAAGAGGAGACTGGCGTCTGAGGAATAAAGGCAACGGGGAAGAAAGGGGTGGAACGTTTAGTCCGTCTGCTTCGGGTAGTGCGGAGAGGGAGAAGGGGCGGTGTTCGGCCTGTAGTTGAGATTGGAGTGTCTGGATTTAGAGTGGCAAAATAATTAGACTGGAGAAGGTAGGAGTAGAGTGGAAGTGGGGAAAGTAGGTATAGGGGAGGGTGTAGAACATCTGGGATGGAGGGAGAGGGCAGGCGAGCGACATTACTAGAGTAGGGAGTATGAGGGAAACCTCGTTGACGTGTTTCCTGTCTGGTTTCACACAGAGTGAGACCACGTTTTCATCTGATAGTTGCTACCTCAGATTCAAACTTGTAGGTGGGGCAGCCTCTATGAAAAAAAAAAATTATGGGGGCCGCCACAGTTAGCACCTGTGCGTGTTTGTGCAGGGCAGTTTGATCGGTTTAGACCTGGTTGGGTATATAGGGGGTATCGGTTTGTGGAACGGCAGTGTTTGGCAGGATGTCCAAACAGTTTTGACATTGACGGGGAAGGGGGTTGGTGTGGTTGAACAGTGAGGGATTGTCCACCAATGTAGATACGAAAGGTAAGGTCATGTGTACGGAGAGAAATTTGGCAATGTTGATGGGTTTCTTTTGATGACCTCTAGGAGGAATGGAGTTGTACTGTACTGATCACGGTCTTTGAGGCAGCCGAGTTCGTACTCTCCACAATCTGACCAATCCATATCCATAGGGTAGCTTGCTGGGGAGATAGAGACATTTCCAGTACAAGTATTAAGAGTTGGATGAGGTTCTGCAGGAATGGGGTTGCCAGAGAGATCTATTAGATTTGATAATACTATAGCTTCGGTTTCAGATATGACTGTTACAAGACGGGAACGATCGGGTCGGGTACGGAAAGGGACTCTGCCTACTTGCTTTTGGAGACAATGTTGAAAGAGAAAGGTGTTGCCTGAGCAAGGAGCTGTAGGGGGGATCACGAAAAATCGGTCCCATTTGGCTGGGTTAAATAGAGTATTTAAGATAATGGTAGAGTTGTAGGTGGTAGAAGGACGGGGACGTGTGGAAGAGGGAGTATTTTTGAGGGGGTGGGGGTAGTATTACGGAGAGATGGAGAATAAGGTTGTAAGGTAGTAATAAGGGAGGATGGGGTGTTTGATGAAGGTTGTGGGTGGAGGTGATGTACTTAAGAAAGTTGGGAGAGTAGGAATGTCTTCTGGAGATTGAGTCTCGACTTGGTTGGATAATACACTAGTAGGCATTGAGGAGTGGGCAGTATTTGTAGTGGTCAAAGGAGAACCTGGGGTCGGGGACCCGGGAGAGTTTGAATTGGTGGGGCTATTTGATGAAGGGGCAAGCTTCATTGCCCCTAATAAGGGCATTACATCTTCATTACTGGCCACGGGAGGCCTTGACTATGTTTGGGAAATTAACAGTCCACCCTCAGGGGTCCCTTGTAGGGCAAGGACTAGACAACTAAAACAGGGGAATACCGTGCCCATGGTTCCCGCAGGCCGTTCAGGACTGGCACAAGGTCAGTCTTTCATCCTTTCAGCACGGCTCTTACACCTTAGGAAGTAGATAGTAGAAGGGACGGAAACGAAAGAGCTGGAGAGAGAAAAGACCATGCAAAATTAGTTGAGTCGAGGGCTGAGGCCCAAGGGAGGGGAGATCCCTGCATTTGGTCTCAGTCCCCGTCTCCTAAGACCCCCACGACAAAACAGGCAAGGGATTGGGGGGGGGAATCTTTTTTTCTATTGAATTATCTAGTGAGGAAATTATTTCTCAGAGTAATGCACAACTGACTTATTCATTCCTATTTTTCCTATATGTTTCTTTCGTGTAATTGTCTCATTGCTTACTTATGGATATGATACTTGTATGCCAAACTTGTTGCTTTGGCTTATTTCCATGACAATAAAGTTATTTTATATTTGGAGTTACTCTTCCTTCATGATACAGTTCACTAGGTTGGTATAAAGCATTGGGGGGATAAGGAGACGCTAGAGAGGGGCAGGATAGCATTATAAGTTAATGAATAACTTTTTTTGCAAAACTGGTAAATAAACTGGCTGTTTCATTTAGGTTCTATTTGTGAACAACATCCTCGTGTTTACTCTTGTGTGTTTTCGCACGTGTATGTTGGGGAGGGTCCTAGGAAGCCAAGGGGGCAATAGCCTGGAAAAGTTTGGGAATCAATGGTATAAAGCAATAATGAAGAAATCCAATACAAATGTTCAAATATATTAACATTTTCTGAACCTCTGCTGAGAGTAACAACAAATCTAAACATCACTACTTTTGAACTATAGCACATTACAACTTTTTCAGTGATGGACTCAATGATGTAAATTCAAGGATAATGATAAAAGCTCATGATAATCTTTGTATATTTGGCCATTTCCTGACTGCATTACAAAACTAGAAAGCTGGAGATTGGGTGTCTGGCACTGCTCTCCAATCAGTGGGCACTTGGTATGTTCTGTAGTGAATGTTAACTTTACTTTCATTCATATTCTTAATTTTTGGAATAAATATAAAGTACATCCATCACATAAACAAGAACTATACCTCCTGATGGTAGCAGGTATGAAGACATTTCAAGTTATAAGTTACACACCCTTGTACATATAACAAGCCATGTGTTCCAAATACTTGTACCTACAACAAGTAATGTGTTCCATATACTTGTGAAACAAGTAATAGATTACACAAACTTGTACAGACAAAACAAGTACTGTACAGCCACAAGAGGGTAAATCTAGGTAAATATATGTTAAGAACTTTTTTTCAAGATTTTACTGTAATATTTATATCACAGAAAAATTTAACAAAAACACCTTTTCAAAACGGACTGTTGCAAGAAAAAGTTTACTGGACTCTGTTTCTGGCACAATCACATCCAGCTGTAAGAAGTTAAATCCTGAAAAAGTGACCAGACAGACCAGTGACAGGCATTGCAGCTAAAGTAGTAACAGCTAGATATGACTGTACTGATGCATACAGAGGTCCTCCAACACAGCCCAAAACCACTGAATGTTGACAGGTGGTTCTTCCTGGTTCTCTTTATTTTTTCCTATACATAGAAAAGAGTTAAGAGACTTAATTAAGAAGGAAGCTATTATAGCTCCCCTTTACCTTAAATAATATAACAAAAGGTATTGTCAAAGAAAATTTCCTCTGAATATTTTTCCTTCTTTTCCAGTTACCTTAAATGAAAGAGTTCAGTCTTGTTTCTGAGAGCGACTCAACTGCTGGCTTCCAATTTTGTAAGTAGCTAGCTGGCAATAATTTTCTGTGTTTACTTCCAGAATGTATTGAAAATAAATGTTATATCCCGTGTTCGAGCATTGGTTCAAGACACTTATTAGACGTCACTAAGATACAAAATATGTATTTAATCTATATTGATCTTACCACTACTGTGATGCTTGAGCTTCCCATTGCCTACCATTCCTAACTCTTAATGCTGTATAAGCTTTGATGCTCTTCTGGTCTTAAACAATTCATTCTTCTCTGCAAAATCTCTTTACCGACAACTTCTAAAATGCATTTTATTTGTGTAATCATATCCTCCATGTCTACATAAAAATCAATGTTTCCTCCTCTATCTTCTCAGTATGTAAACCCAACACATCCCTGCATCATCTATCTACACACACATCCTCACTCCCATCTACTCACACACACTATTTTCTCTGCCTGTCATCAGTACTGCCTACCCTGGTAATGAGACCTGGGAGAATGGCATTTAAAGACTCAGCATCAAATACCATCCATCTCGCTGTGGCCTTTAACCAGGGGAAGTAACAGCATTATGGAAGATATACAGTTCCTTTTCAAATTGTAAACTTTGAAAGACTCGGCACATCATTTCAGACTGCAGGTAAGGATGAATTACGCTACTGCCGTCACCTGACTAGATATCTGCTCTACTTCCCAAATACCTTTGTACAGATCTTGCTACTGTGGTTGCAGTAGAAATATGAAAGCACAAACAGGAAGTAAAAAATAAAAGAAAGAAAAGAAGAAATATGTGGAAAAAGAAGCTTCACCACAGAATATAGCACTAATATTTATAAAAGATATATAAAAAGTAATAATGCATACAAACTCCATTTTGAATAGATGTGAGAGAAAATAAAACAAAAGAATCTTGTGATTTTTCTCCCTTCTTTTGGTGAGGGGAAAATTTAAGGTTATCCAACTTCTAAAAAATATCATAAATATTCCTAAGAATGCAAAAATTATGCCTGGAACTGATTATTAAAAAAGAAAAGTCCTTAGATTGCTTGTTGGTTCACATGTGAGCAAAAGCCCAAGATACACATTTAACTTCTGCTCAATCATCTAACCAATTCCTTGAAAAGCCTACTCACATCTCAGGCTACTTGATATCCCCCTTAAGTGCCTAGGCCTTTTTACATGCACTTAGTCAAATCATACTAGCCAACCCACAGGCCTCACCTATCCTGGATCCTGTACAAATAAAAATTAAACTTAGAAGTTACAATGAATTTCAAGTCATACACCGCATGACATTATACATTCAAAAGTAATTTGTCATTATATAAAAACATTATGAATTACATTCCTCTTCTGTTTTCAATCTCTAGAATCCGGAACAGTAAAAATGAAGAAGCCATTTTGCATCCTCACAAGAGATGCTGGAGAACCTCAAATGAGACACAAAATTGCACAAGTAATTCCTGACAGGTCCCTACATGAGTATGAGGAGACCAAGTGCATATTAGTGCTAACCAGAGATCAATTGATGGGTAATGTTGAGATCACATTGCTACCTGAACGTTTTGATAGCCAGATCCTGAAAAGGAAATAAAAATGTAATTAGTACAATTGTAAAATGCAAGAGGGGAGATGAAAGGTATTCTACAGTCCTAAATTTTCAAGCTCATATCATTCTACAAGCATTATATAAACACTGAATTACTTACCCAATACCAGTACCAAGGATAAGGGACAGAACGTTGGTGATGAGGAGGGTGTACAGCACATCTCGGGAGAAGAGAGACGAATTTCCTACCATCACCCGACGAATACTAGCACCACGACTGACGCCCTTTCGAGGATGACTAAACCTCCACTCCCTGTAACCAGAAGAGAAAAAAGATAAGCTTTACTTCTCTAGTTTCTTCATTAAAGGAGATTTCATTGGTGTAATTCCACTGATCAAACAGACTCCTATTAAATACAAAATATTTGAAAACTGTATTTTCATACACAAAGAAATAGTGATAGAGACATCTAAAAAATACTGACTTGGGTGGAGTCTGATCTGGTCGGCTGCTCCAATCCCAAATCCAATCTGTTTCAGTATTCTTCTCTACGCGGATAAAGTCGCCCTCCTGGCATAGAAGAAAAGAGTAATGATAAGGCTTGTATCTGGAATACTTCATACACATATCCTGGGGTGTGAGATGAATGAGAATATCAGGAGCTGCCTTTTCACATAGCACATAAATTGATCTTTAAACTTAACTATACATTCAGGAATTTCATAAACTTTTCGGCCAACACTTAAATTACAGCTTTGCATTGATTCTACATTTGGTCATATAAAAAATATAGCTAAGATATTAAGCTTTCCTTCAAACTTTATATTTTGAAATTGCCATTAATTTACCTTATTATAATAGTTTATATAGACTCCTTTCAACACGGCAGCCTCCTCAGGATCCGTGGCCATTTCTGTATTAGGACTGTTTGGAGGCGACTTTGGCCTGAAAGGTAAAGATTTGTGTAATCACAAATGATCATTTATATTTTAGAGATAAAAACAAATACAGAATAAAACATACATGACTGTTCAAGGTAATATGCAACTCTACATGCATATAAGACAATTATGTGTAAGCATATATAATTTCATCCTAGTAATATTAATAATAAGTACATTTGTTACCTATAATATTATTGCAAATGTTGCAAGTAAGGGAATCCATCCTTGAGAAGAATCCCATTTCTTATGACTTATGAATATTCTATATGATTGAATTTGCTTTCAACAACACTGATACTAGTCTTTATTAGTTGTTGTTTTTTCAAGCAATATCATTAATGATTACTTAGTTTATCTTAAATCCCATGCTTAAGAAATGTGTCCAAACAAATCCTTAGGCACACAGACCTTTCCCATTACTTAGAAATGAAAGCAATGACAACCTGTTTCTCAAGCGCAGAATCTCATCTACAAGTCAGAGGAAATGTTTTCATCATGAAAAGGATTGTGACCTCCAAGATGTCAGACACTCAAAAACATCATCATGTATTGGCAATTCTACTCACGAGTCATGAGGAGAGTCCCTCGGCGTGTCACGGCGCGAGGAGGCGAGGGAGACCCTGGCGGAGGACTGATTGCTGTCTTTCTGAGCCTCCCTCAGGAGACGCAAGTACTCCTCGCCGTTGCCGAAAGGGAGCGGGGTCACGCGGTCGGGACTGCTGGGCTGATTGGACAGGTCCACCCAAGATTCTGAAAGAACATCAATTGCGTCAGGGTACAATCTCTATCGAAGAAAAGATAGATAAAAGGCGGATATACTCTTGGTATATTAACACAGCCGCAAAAATAGCACTCATGCTACTGGAACCTTGAATTTATTCGAGCAGGGTACAGAAGATACATGGCAGATAATAATGAGACAGCAATCTGAAAATGAATAATTCATCTCATGCGATGGTCCGACTGCGGTGTTCCTAAGAACGCACATCTGACGACGTAATAACGGCAGACCTCAAGCCAAAATAACCACGGAATAAACAACCTCCATATTGGCACCCAACAACATCGAAAAAGCATGTGCGTCATATCCAGATGACCCCCCCCCCCCTTCTATGTGAATGCGGATCCCTGCAGCAGCTGAGAGGAGGCGTTAGACACAAAAATAAATAAACCACAAATGAATGCAGGGACCTTCTTGCATGTTAAACCCGAGCCAGACCAAGGGCACACGAGCGTGCAAGGAGAGATTCCATTCGAACACATCCGCCGCCGCCCTCCGCCGGCTGCAAATCGCAAGCCGCGGCCGCGGGAGGAGTTCGGCACGCGCTATGACGTCAGAGACCATTGATTGAGAAGCACCCAGCCGGAGTATGGGAGCGAGGGAGGGGGAGGGGGCGAGGGTTGGCACAGAGGTCGTGCCTCCATAACAACGAGGCGACCTTGTGTAGCTATTTTGCTCTTTAAACATGTTTTCATGAAGGCGGGGAAAATGTTGTAGAGAGAGGAAATGTACTGAAGGTTTTCCGTTTTCTGCTTTCAACATGTAAAGGTAAAATCGCGACAAAGAAGTGCAGGCTACTCTGTTATACTCCCTAGCAACACGGCGTGATTTTATCAAGTAAATCGTTTAATAATGAACTAGACAATTGGCGGAACCCATAACGACAATCCATATGAGACCAATTAATCAAGGCAATATCTACAGCCCTGAATACAGCCTCTGTCGACTCCCCCGAGTAACGCGAGCGGGGGTCAAAATAAAGGGGCTACTTGATCTGTGACTCACCGCTTGTCATCGCGATGGGCCAATTACAGCCCCGAATGAGGCGTCTGACCGGCCAGAATATCTGCCGATGCCGTGCGGGCTCAGCAGCAAGGCCTCGGACAAAATGGAAACCCCAACAGTGAGCACCTCGCGCAACATCCAACGCCGCTCCGGACGGCCGGCGCGGCCCAAAACAGACATAAGCATGCAGCACAACATAACAGTCAACATGTTTGCACGCGGGTGTGGCGCTCGGGACAGCAGGCGGTGATGCGAAGCCCAATTTGGCCTCGATATGAGGAGTGGGACAACCGCCGCCGCCGCCGGACACCAGAATACGCAGTTGGCTCGCGCAGGTGAATGGGACGGCGCGGCGTGACGTCACAGGGCCTACGCTAAAACTCAGCTGTGATTACGGACAAAAAAAGGCGACGGAGCCGCTCTGCAACGTCCATTCATTCACACCTACATGCTCGTTCATTCATGCCTTTCCCTTTGTGGATACACTCACTAACGGAAGAGATAGCGGGACAGAATACACCCGGAAGACAGCATGCAAGTTCCTCATTATGCTCGATCAACGCCTAATCATGAAGCAGGGACAGCGACACCCTGGCCACGGTAGGTGGCCGTGGGCCCTGCGCGAGCGACTGCGCCGCACCGTCCGGTTCACGAAACACCTTGGGGCCATGAGGGCGAGGATGCGGACGAGATAGGTCATGGGGGGATGTGTACCATACTATGGAAAAAATACGGAGCGTGGCAGGAAACTGAAGGTTGGCGCAGAAAAATAGCACAGAAAAAAATAAAAAAACAAGTTGAAGCTCAATGACCTCTGCGGGTCACCTTAGTCTCTTCATTCAATCTGCTCAGTGAAGGGAGTGTGCGCGAAAATCGATTTGGCCCCGTGGTTCTTGACGTAGGATTCCTTCAGTTCTTTAAAGTGCTGAATGAGACGATATACATTTTTTATATAAATATCCTTCCTTCTTTTTTAAGATTACAAACGAAACTCAATAACAAACACAAAAAGATTAAAAAAACTTTTGGAATGGATCGGCCACAGCAGCGGAAGTCGTACGAAGAGCCACGAGGGAAAAGGGGCTAACACCTAAAAATACTCCAGGTATTGTCAGGCCAGAATTACTCCTCGATTAAGGGGCCGAAGCCATAGCCAACAGACCTAATCTCGGAGATACGAACACGTTATTCTCGCACGAGATAGCGAAAACATGGAAAAGCTCTTTCTGTCTTCCCCCCCCCCCCCCTCCCCTCTCTCCATGTGTGCTTGAGTTCACGTGTAAGTACATGAAAGAGGAAGAGAAAGTGCATGTATCTTCATGTGCGTCTGTTTTTGTTTCTGTTTGTTTGTACATACGAGTCAATATGTGCTGTCGCTTGTATGTACGCGTATGTGTATCGGTACGTGAACTGCATATAAGGACTCAAGACGTACGGACGTATGGAAGTACATATGTATGTACATATTTACGTATGGCCGTGTGTACGCATGCACAGCCAGCGACGCACGCAAGCACGATTCCGCTGCGCGTCTTCGTCCTCGCAAGTGCAACCCAACGCAACTGCAGCAAGTCCGGCGAAAAGAGCGAGGCAAGAGGAAGAGGAAATGGGCGAGGGGCGATAGGGATGCAGTAGAGGGGGAGGGGGAGGGAGCGGAAGGGGGAGGGAGAGGGGAGGGTGGAGAGGGAAGACGGAGGGGGGAGGCAGGAAGTTAATGAGCGACGTGGTCTATGGATCGGTGAGGGGAGGGAGGGGAGGGGGAGGGGTTCAACGTGAAGGATGGGGACGAAGGATAAACACGGCGGATGGAGCGGTGGGCGACGAGGGACGAAGAGGAGGCAAAGAAGCGAAATGAAGTAAAGACACTAAGAGATGTGTCTGAAGGAAGTAAAGAGAGAGAGCGCGAGACAGCGACTTCAAAAGGTGAGATCGAACGCCAGGGGACGTCATCGAAAACAACTGGAAAGAATCTGACCCAAACCTAGAAAGGAAAAGGCCGACAGGGAGAAGCAGAGAAATCAGCTGAGAGCGGCAGAGCTATCAAAACAAAGAAAGAGAACGAAAAAAAAAGAAAAAGAAAGAAAGGAGACAAAGAAAGAAAAAGGAAAGGAAAAGAAAAAAGGCATGGAGGACGACGACGAATGGGTAGGGGGGGGGGGGTCAGGCAGGGGCAACCTCCTCTCCTCTCCCCCCCTCTCCCGCTGACAGTTGCTAGGCTCAGCACATGGGCGAGGGGGGGGGCGAGGGCAACCTTATATAAGCAACGTGCAACAGTGTGCAACTCGGAACGTTCTGAGCCGGAACGTCTTCGGAAAAGAGGCGAGGAAAGGGAAGGTTGGAAACGAAATCCCGAAAATGAATAACACTGAGAAATCTGGTGAAATTTACACCAAAAATGGTAACATAACCAGCGATATCTACAATCCGTAATAAAGGCGAGGTTGGAGGATTTTGTCTCAGCAAATAGGCCTGAATGCAGCAGTATCTTTCTTGAAACGAAAGGCCATGAATCCAACAGCATAACCGATAGAAATAACAAACAATATCGCCAAATGGACAAACAGACGAACGAAACAGAAAGGCTGAAGAGAGAGAGAAAGGGAGGGGCGGAGGGGAGGGATGAGAAGGCAGTGAGGAGGGAAGGGGGAAGGGAGGGAAGGTGCTGCCGAGACGCAGGTATTTTCGTCTCAGGACCTGAAACCTCCTGGCCTGAACCCCCCCCCCCTCCTCCCGGAATCGTTGACTGGCACGCACCACTGCCAAAGCGCTCGGGAGATGCGACGGCCGGCTGGAAAGTGGCAGGAGGCTTTCAAAGGACTGGCACTGGGCGGCGCAGGTGAAGGGAGATGGGCGGGGCGAAGGGAGAGGGAGCGGGAAGACAGGAAATGTGCCAGGACTCTCCAGTGACATGACAGAGTTTGAGAGAAGATTGAAAAATGATGGAAGAGAGAGAGAGCGCGTCACCGCCTCCACTGCATGGTGCAAACATACAAATCGTGGGACATGCCAGCAACACAGGCGCAGCAGGATGTGACGTACTCTCATAGCAACTGCGGCTCTCCGAGTGTGGCCATGAGAGTCATCTCGAAGTATCCCCATTAAAGGCACTGTTCTTGCCCGACCTCTATCGAGTGAATGACACACCGTGACATGTATCCAAACTGATTCTATGGGGCAAAAAAAAATGGCTTTGCTTCACTGGTTTCCGCGGAGAGAGGCTCTGTAATGCGACGCCCAGCGCCAGATGGCACCGCGGCAACCCGTTACGCCAAGGACACCCACTCTGACTTCGACTCCCACACCCGTCTCCTCCCACTGACAGGCGCACGCACAAACACGCACGCAGGCACGGCGAAGGCACGGCGCAGGCAAGGCATTTCGACCATGGACGGACTCTCAGAAATACAAACAGACAAACACACTCCTCGGGATCGCGACACGCAAAGGACATCCTCATCGCACCTCCACAGGGCGAGGTGAGTCATGTACTTGGGTCTCTTGTCGTCCCCCCTCTGTTTTTGTTTCTCTCTCTCCCCCCCTCTCTCCCTCTCTCTCCTCTCTCTCTCTCTCTCTCTCTCTCTCTCTCTCTCTCTCTCTCTCTCTCTCTCTCTCTCTCTCTCTCTCTCTCTCTCTCTCTCTCTCTCTCTCACATTCTTTTTACCTTCCCTCCTTACAACCAGAGCAAGAGCACTTCCAAAACAAGCGTCCAACAAACCCGTTTCAAGCCCCACCAAAGGCCTGCAAAGGTCAAGGTCTCCCGGAGAATAATATAACATTTTATACAGAAAATGTCCCAGTCATGACTCCGTCCCGTGACAGTGAAGCTCCGCCCATATAGCCTACCTTGACCACGCCCACCTAAACCGAAACTGGGACGGTAAAATGTGAGGATAACCCGACAGACACGAAACAAACAAAATGCCAAACCTACAGCAGCCGCATCAGGGCGAAAGGAAATGGAACC